CCTTTTTCCAGATAGGCTATCAATCTCCTTTATTTGGTAAGGCGGAAGCTGAGCAAGAGAGGCGCAGATGTGATTTCTATGCAGCAGAAGCCTAGGGGAGCCAAAGGCCGTTTTGTCTGCTCAGATACATCAAAATGTTTAACATCATGAAATACAACTTCTTGGAGTAAACCATGGTTTAAGAAATAGAATGAAACAAGGTTTACTTGCAGTTTAATTGACTCTCGTGGCCAAATAATGGCGTAAAACAACAACAACAAAAATCTAATTATTTTAAAGTATATTTAGACAGAAACCCTCCTAGCTGAGACACTTCTGATCCTCATAGCCAATTGGCTTGGAGATCAACGCTTCCCAGTGATACCAACAACAAGCAAGGCTTAACAACAAGACTGCACACACAGCCCACAAAGGGTTACATAAGACTGTCCACCTCAGGTAACTGGGAGGCTGACTCACTGAACCATATAGGACACCTTAGCACACAAAGCCACCCTACCAACTCAGGGAAGCTGTGAAAATGCCGAGACAAGGAAATAGATCACAAAGAAAAGAAATGGAGGAAAAGAAGAGACTGGATATAGAGTTCAAAACAACGCTTATAAGGTTTTTCAAGAATTAATTATTTTACAGTATATTTAATAGAACAAACTAAAGTATATTGTGTTTAGTTATATATTGTTTGAAGAAAAAAAGCATCATGCTGTTTCAAAAGAAAAAATTTCAAGCACTGTCATCAGGTGGTGAGTTCAAGAGCCTGAGAGCTAGGCAGACACTAGTTTGGGTCTAGGCTCTCTTACTTCAGTGTGACCTTCAGCTTTCACTGCACCTTAGTAGGGCCTAATTACTTCATATGTAAAATAGGGATAATCACAGTATCCATAACAACAGGTTACCTTTAGGATTAAAGATAATATTAATCACCTCATATCTATCCTATATAACAAGAGGTTAATATGCAAATTGAACAAACAAACAGTGGATCTACCAGTTGCTATGATGTGTACTGACCACCAGGGGGCAGATGCTCATGCAGGAGCTGCCCCCTGGTGGTCAGCGAGCTCCCACATGGAGAGCACTGCTCAGCCAGAAGCTGGGCTCATGGCTGGCAAGCTCAGCAGTGGTGGCGTGAGTCTCTCCCACCTCCATGGCAGCGCTAAGGAGCAGGCCTAAGCTGGCAGTTGGATATTCCCTGAGGGCTCCTGGAATGAGAGGACCGAGAGAGGGTGCAGGCCTGGCTGAGGAACCCCCCCCCAAAGTGCATGAATTTTGTGCACTGAGCCTCTAGTATCATATACCTATATCTATATGTATATATCTATATACCTATCTATATCTATATCTACATCTATATCATATATATGAATGATAATTGTAAATTATTTTTGGTCAAAAAGATCAAAAGAATAAAGAGGTAATATATATAAATGACTTAGAATGATGGCTAACACGTTAGCCACTGTCATCATCATTAAATGGTAAAAGAAAGCTGACAGAACCTGCAGGAAAAAAGTGAAATTAGTCCCAAGCCTTTCATTCTGTGGCATTCTAGTAAAGAACTTAGGAAAATTCCTAGGCAAGTGGAATGGGGAAACTGAGATAAGAAAATTAAACAAGGCCAAATAGTTTGGGAAGCTTGCAGCCTGCTTATGAATCATGAGATCTTATCTTCCCCACATAAGGACACTTGAAAGCAAATTGTCATACCTCTCCTCCCTAACCTGAGAATATAATTTAAATTACCCTGGCTTGGGAAAATAGAGAACAAAGACCCACTTCATGCCATCCATGCCAGCCAAAACATAGTCATCTTGGGGAAGGGAGAAAAAGGTGAGTTTTATCTCAATCACTAAACAAAGAGGTATGCCTTCTCAGGACTTGCCAAACCAGATGACTGGTGAATGAATGTACAAACATTCCCACATAAGGCATAGCGATGTAGAAGGGGATGTTGAAACTTAGTCTGCTGCATAAGATACCTGGCAGGCAAGCTTTGAAACCTACAGGAAGAAGGGTATAAAAACCCCTGAACCCCTACTAGGTATGCACTCAGATTAGCTGAGTTGCCAGCTTATGCTTTATGCCAAGTGTATTATGAATGAATTCCCTTGCTGATCTTCAACACAGCTATCTGTTACTCATTTGAAATCTTTCTTATGAGATTGGCAAGAGCCCAGGAAGGGACAGATACCCCTTTGACTTAGGGGACAGACACCCCTCTGACTTAGGGGGCTGTCCAGTAATAATTCAAAAAGTAAATGAAAAGAACCTCTATTTTCTATGTTTTAGACACACTAAGAATAAAAAAATAGTCAAGGATTGCAAAGGCACCTCACTACTTTTCAGCTGGCACTGGATATGGAGCAAAAAATATTGAAAAAGGCTAGAGAAATGACTCATGAAGAGATCCCCCTTCCACCCACTTTTAGAATATAAAGCAATTGAAGGAAGAGCTTTAATTAAGCCTATTGATGTCTTCTGGTTCCTGTTTTCACCTCTATGGCCCATAAGCCAGGGGCTCTATAGACAGCACAGGGCCGGCCCCCAGAAAGAGAGCCTGCAGGTTGCATTATGAAGGGGCAAACTTTATCCTAAGGCTGAAAATAATATTACCAAAAAATGAAAAAGAAATTTCAAGAAACTGCAGTTCCAAAGAGAGTCAAGTTGTTCTCTGAGCACCTTTGAAGAAATCCATAGTGTTTGTATCATGTTAAATTTAGTACTAGAGAACATTGCTAGTGGTTTACTTTAATATCCTAATTAGACATCCTTTTAGTTAATACTTTAATTTTTTTTTGAGAGGAAGTATTTATGAGATTTGAACTAAAATATCATGTTCAGTGGCCTGCTTAGAAAAAAACATTCCTCAAAATACCTTGAAAAGGGCATTCACTCCTATAACTAAAACTAACAGGCTATTTACAAAGGAAGTGCTGATGGGCCGAGCACAGTGAATGGAACATTGTTTTAAAGCAGAGCAAGTCACAAAATATATCCTTTCATGTGACTGAGAGGGTGAGTTATAATAAACTTTACATGAGGTAAACACCAAGTCTTGGTAAGATTTAACTGTGTAGGAACATCTATCTATACTAACGAAATTGACCAGCATTTTGGCTACAATACCTGGCACACAATAGGTCCTCAATATATATTTACTGAGCTAATGGATTAATGTATAATTACAAGCCTATGGAGGTAGTTATTCTTTACAATGTTACACTTTTATTATATTGCCTATATTATAATTATTGTCCAACGAACTTGGCTACACTAGAGATTTGTTTAGAAAGGAATATTATTCACTGTATTAATGCTAATTAATCTTTCTTTTGAGGAATAAAAGGGACACAGTAAAAGCATCTATTGAAAAACGTTTACTGACTTGAGATTTCACCAGATTAGTATCCTTTCCTTAGGAAAAAGTTTATGCCATTATGGAAATATTACCTATTAAACGGTATCAGTATCCCTGGAAAAGTTAACAGCAGCAAACTGTGGCTGTAACATATCAAACATCTAGAATCTGGATAAAGCACAAAATAGCCACTGATCTCTGGAATATTTCAAAATATATAACTATATTTACAACTATTCTTTAGGTAATTTTAACCTACTAGAAGTCTGTATATGTACAGGGTGTCCCCAAAATGTATACACATTTCAAGTAATTATAAAGTCAGTGTTTATTAACATACAGTTCATTTTCAATTAAGTGAGTTATCAGCTGTTAAAGTTTGTGTACATTTTTTGGGACACCCTATATATTTTTTCTCTCCTTCCTTATATTGTACAGGTGATACGTGACTAGAGAACAGTCTATGGAGATAAGTAGTGAAGACTAGACAGGTTATAAAAGGAGAAAAACTATGAGACAGTAGAGATAACTGTACACTTAAATTTAACTAAGTATATAGACTCTACATGAGCGAGCAAACACTGTTATTTTACTTTTGCCTGCAGCATTAGGTATTTTGCATATATAGATGGGACCTGTATTAAAACCCAGTGAGCATTAACTCATGCTGTTCAGGTATAATTTTCTGAAAGGGCCACTTTCTCTTTTCATTTTACCTAAGTACAGGATTTAAAGGTAAAGACTTTATACATTTAAACTTGCCACATTATCTATTTCCCCTGCCACCTTCACCCCTTATTTTATAATTTGCCTTACTTTGTTGATATTATCTGTTTACTTACCTTTCGCTCTAAGCAGAATACAGTTTCATCAGTTCATGGGAATAGTAGGACCCTGAATGCCCCACACAGAGCGGGTTCTTATTAAATGTTTCTGGAAGTAATGTGTGCTCTTGCACTTTCTAACTATATATCTTTGCTATTTTTCATTCATTTTGAGGTGCTTTTTGCAAGGACCAGAGTAATTTTTCTCTCCAGCTTTACCCTCATCAATCTTTGTCTTTTACAGAGAAAGCATCCTTTTTGATGGTGTCTGATTACAAATAGCATCTTAAAAAATAAAAATAATTTTAAAACCTTTTAGCTTATTCACTACTTATTACAGATATAAAAATATTGGGATTGACTAAATACCAATATGTCAACATATAAATATCTTATTTTATCATAGACATCAAAATTTGAACAGTTGATAGGAGCAACTTCATTGAAAGGGTACTTTTAAAAGTTACCCAGTAAATGGTAACATCTGCTAGAAAATAAAGGATTTTATTTTTTTTATTTTATTTTATTTTTTTTATCAAGGAGTCTAAAATAAGTTACTTAGTAAGATGAGGTACCTAAAGATTGTTTTTTAAAATAGTTCACTACTTCACAATGTTTTCAGGGTAATGGGACAAGTCTCTCAGGTTTTTCATTTCTTATGTTTTTCAAAGCAAATAAAAATTATAATCTTTCATTTTCAATACATTATAGTTTTTTAAAAAAAATCCAAATCTTAGAAATTCATTCATAGCGTTAGCTAAGAGAAGCCATGTGATTTTTCTGGCAAATACAGTAGCACAAAGGCTCAAGCCTCTTACCATCAAATCCATCCTCTTCTGACCCTAGTTCATCATCTGAACAGATGTTGAGGACATTTACCAGCATCTCAGTCACTAAAAAGAAAAAACGAAATGAAAGAAGTCCAGATTTTTTCTATCATAACCTTAATTATTACTCTGGCATTTTTTAATGCGCAAGCTTAGCAATAGCATTTCTTACCTAGTTTGTATATAGAATCTCCTACGCAGTAGTTTCTATAAAATCCAGGTCATAAAAGATAAAAGGCTTTATGATTCTACATAGACTCTATCCTTATAAAATTATTAGTTCATGCCTACAAATTCTAATAGTAAGATTTACTGGCTACAGGTCAGCAGACAATAGAGAAATCAAACATGTGGATGTGAAAATACTATAAATTTATAAAGTAGGCTACTTTTGAATTTTTATTTATGTGTATATTGAGATCTAGATCTAGACCAGGCTATGAACTACTGTTCAGCAGGGACTAAATATACTGGATCTCTTTTTCCATTTTATTAATTCTCCAGAGAACTAGACATTGATAGGCATGAGTTTTGAATTTAATAAAATTTGTTGATTCCTTAATAAACTGATTAAATATAGATATTGTTACATTCAATTTAATAAAAACCTAAATTCTAAGTGCCCAGTTGTCCAGTCAGCCATTCAACCAATCAAAGCATAATATGCTAATGATATGCTAAGGCTGCTCAACAGCTCACTATGACATGCACTGACCACCAGGGGGCAGATGTTCCAACCGGTAGGTTAGCTTGCTGCTGGGATCTGGCTGATCATGAATGACCAGATCGGCCGGACACAACCTGGAGCCTCTCTCAGTCCTTCCCCGGCTGACCAACCTCTTGCATTTCTCCCTGGCCCTGACCATATACCAGTGGGATCCCTCAGCCTGGCCCCCTCTTGAAATCTGGGACCCCTCAGGGGATGTCGGAGAGCTAGTTTTAGCTCAATCCCACAGGGCTTCTAGTTTTATTATAAAAAATACTTTAAAAATAAAGATTAGGTAAGTTTAATAAAAAATTTAGTTGAGTAAATAGATTATATAAAAGTATTATATACAGAAATTTAGTATTGCATCACTTTTACTTGATGTGCACGCTATATACAACATTTTTATGAACATTTTTAAAAATTAGGTTGTATTCTATCATGAATGTAAAAATATGATGCATAAAGAATGAGCCAGCAGTGGATAGAGCGTCGGCCTGAGGACTGAAAGGTCCCAGGTTTGATTCCGGTCAAGGGCATGTACCTTGGTTACAGGCACATCCCCAGTAGGGGATGTGCAAGAGGCAGCTGATCGATGTTTCTCTCTCATCGATGTTTCTAACTCTTTATTCTTCTCCCTTCCTCTCTGTATAAAATCAATAAAATAAAAAATAAAAAAATAAAAAAAGAATGAGCCAGTATATCACAACTAGGCCTACTGAACCGAAAGCTCAGATTCAGGGGCTGCAATCTTGACTCAAAATTTTTGCTGAGGTTTAGGTCAAAACATAAAAACAAAGGGGAAAGGAAAGAAAGAAGGAAGGAAAAAAGGCCAATTTTGGAAAACTGGCTCAGGTTAATAGACAACTTTTTAAATGTACATTTGTCTCACCCTGTAACACACTAATGGCCACTATATTTTTAATAAACTATTTTTGTTGTTGTATATGTAGTCCTTCAAAATATTATAGTCATTAATCACTATTATACAATGATTATTCGTTTAAATATGTTTTAATTAATTTCAGAAAGAGGGAGAGAGAGATAGAAACATCAATGATGAGAGAGACTCATTGATCGGCTGCTTCCTGCATGTCTCTACTAAGGATCAAGTCCGCATGCGTGTACCCTGACTGACCAGGACTCCAATCATGATCTCCTGGTTCATGGATCAATGCTCAACCATGGAGCCACACTGGCCAAGAAGCAATGATTCCTTTTTATATCAGAAATGTGAGGAAAGCATTGCTATGATAACCTTTATATTTGATGACTAGTTTGCAAAATAAAATAGTACCTTTAAATTATAATATAACAAGATTTTGAAAAGGCAGTCATTATGATTTGAAGCCAGTTAAAACGGTATGTCTGTAATTTCTGAGTTCTATTATTCTGAGATTATTAATTCTCCTACTATCTCTTATTTCTTTTGTTGCCCCTTCATTCATTGTAATTGTTTAATAGGATACTCTTTGACACTTTCAAATCATACCTCTCATGGTGCAATTTATTGATTAAGTCAGTGATTTTCAACCTTTTATCATCTCATGGCACATATAAATTAATTGCTACAATTCTGAAGCTCACCAAAAAATATATTTTTTTTACCAGTGTGACAAGAAAAAGGTATAATTTTGACTCATTCACAGTGGGTGGTTATTGTTGTATTGGCTGTTGTCATCTTTTTTATTTGACAGTGTAAGGGAAAAAAGGTCAGTGACCCTGACTAGGTAGTCCAGTATTGCATTTTTAAAAAAATTCTTGCAGCAAACCGGTTGAAAATTGCTGGGTTACACTAAAGTGTTTCATAGTAAAATAGCCCCATCTCCTCCCCCATTACACCATTCCAGTAAGCATTTTAGGATCCAAAACCCACCTTTTTCCCCAACAAATGGAAGAGACCAAGTGAAAACATCCATGAAATTTGGAAGCCAGTATGGATGAGGAGAACAGTTGAATTGCCTGATATTCATGACGTTGTTCTCATACTTCAATACTGCAGCTGAAAATGACAAAAAGAGTGATATTAGATTCACAAGCACATATTTCTGCTTCTCCACCTGCTTTGGTTGATCAAAAAAATTCAACTATTTGACTTAAGTTCCAAAACATCAAGGCAATTAGTTGAATTAATCATGAATGCATACGGTACTTTTGGATCTAAACTTCACTTGGTGTAATGGGTAACTGCATAATATATGAATATTAAATATGATATGCCATTGTAACTTGGCAAATATTTATATAAAATAGTTAATCAAATATATTTCAGGAATTGAATCCAAGAACATTCTGGCCCTACTTAATAACTGATGACACTAATAAAAGTGGCATAGCTAAGCCAGTTTGACATAATTTAATAATATAACTATTTCTATTTCTTGCAAGACATACTTTTTCCCAATAGAACTCACAATACTTGGACAAAATAGTTTAAATTAGATTGCATTCTTGAGTTAGTAAAGTTTGGATCGAATTCTGCATAAAATAATATGCGTGTATCTGACTCCACCCTTGATTTCTGAAAAGGATGAACCATCCGTAATATAGAAAAATGAATCTGCCTTCTCACTCTGCTTTCTGGATATCAGGGATATACCCTTACATATACTGTAGATCTTCAGCCTTTCACTTGTAACCAGATTCAGAAATTCACTCTCTCGTTTTTTTTAAACTGTTTTTTTTTTGGGGGGGGGGGTTAGGGGAGGAAGGGAGAGGGAGAGAGAGAAACATAGATGACATCATCAGCTGCCTCCTGGACGACCCCCTACTGTGGATCAAGCTGGAAACCTGGGGCTATGTGCCCAAACTGGAAATCGAACTGGCAACCTTTTGGTGCATGGAACAATGCCCAACCATCTGAGTGACGTTGGCCAGGGTCAGAAATTCATTCTCTAGCAATCCTGGTACTGGATAAAAGTCTCTGTGAGTACTTTCAATGAAGGAAAAGCAACCCATTTTAATAGTGTCATCTCTTCTAAGAATAGATAATTTTAGGTTATGGGGAATTGTCAAGTTGAGTTTAATGTGTTTATACCATTCCCTGATCCTATTTTTGTTTTCAGGAAAAATATAGAACAATATACCTTTGTTTCTAAATAATAGTTTTTAAAATATTATAACAATATTTGAATATACAATCCTGAATTTAGACAAAATTTCATTTTTATTATCCTATCATGACATAAGCAATACTTTATTAGTAGAAATTATTGAACAGATCCTAGATAATGTCATATGCATTGTTGTTGTTGTTCTTCTGTTTTTGTTTAGGGGTCTGAAATATAAGAAAATTAATTATTTCATTACTTAAAAATTTTTAGATTGACTTTTATATAAGAGTATATTGCTACATGTGATTAGTAAGATAATAAAACAAAGGTAGCCCTTACAAGTCTGTTTTTAAAAAGTTTAAAGTTTACTGGGTTTGAAATATTACATTAATGTCTACACTAATATCACTTCTTATTTAATCACTAGAGTCCCAGTGCACAAAATTCATGAACTCCGGGGGTGCGGTTGTAAACTGTCAGTTGGAATCCTTAGCACTGCCATGGAAAAAGGTCCCGACACCACCGCTGTGCTCGCCAGCCATGAGCCCAGCTTCTGGCTGAGCGGTGTTTCCCCTGTGAGAGCGCACTGACCACCACTCCCTGACTGGGGATTGAACCTACAACCTAGGTATATGCCCTGAACCCACCACATTTTGTTGAATAGGACTGAGCTACACTGCCCAGGGCACTTAACGATATCTCGAACATACACTGCTTTCATAACTCTACATTTGCTCTTCCAACTGGAATATTTTCTTAGAAACCGCCAAATATCCAAATTCTTCCCATCCTTTGGTGTTCAAACACTATTCCTTCAGTGAAATATTTTCTGATTTCTTCTGGTGATCTTTCCTTCCTCTGAATTCCAAAAGCCCTTGACTTATACTTTTATATTGCATTTATCATTTAATTTTGGTCATAGCTATTCTATGTAAACATGTAGACACCTAACATTTCTCTATTTCTTTAAGGAGAAGGACCATACAACAGATTTTCCTATTTCTCTGTGTTTCACATGCTCCTTTTCAGCATAGATGATTAGAAGCATCTTGATATTACTCCTCCCATCTTTTTCAAGAAAATTCTTCCTAATCATTCTGACCCTTTCTCATATGAGATGGCTTCAAGAGCCTTTTGCCCACCTGCTCACCCCTGCTCATCAATGGCAATGCTGCTGTTAAACTGTGGTCCAGAACTAATACAATCTCCTTGGTGGGTTTGCTCAGTGAAGAGAATGGGAGAATAGTTTCCTGTGATTTGGATGCCACATATATTGTGCTGACAGCCTAATCACATGTGGAAGTTTTCAGCAGCTGTAGTTAACTAAAGTCATACTTGAGAACAGTAAGGCCTTTGCTTTGCATCATGGTTCTTCCTGACCAGTGGAGAATTACAGGAAATAGAATTACAGTCACTTTGGGGTAAGAACCTGGTATGGAGGGAGTCCCTCTCCTCTTCCCATGGAATTCTGAATTCTGCATATATTTTTGTAAACCCATTTTTTATTCACATTAATGCTCTCATTTATGCCATATGTCATTTGGCTAGGGGATATATTGATATAGTATCAAAACATGTAAAATGAAAAAACTCATGGCAAATTATCATACCAATGCTTCTGATCTGCCAGATGGGAAAGATAAAGTATTTCCTACTTTGGCTAAGTACTACCTGAACACTGCTCCTGAACACAGTATTTTAGAATACTGCATATTCATAGCAGGATAGTATTATCATAGCTTCCAAAGAATGTTTTAAGGTTCTAAGTTGTCTTTTGACAAATAATTTGCACTCTAAGTTTCCACCAGTTTTTATAAGCATTACAGCAGGAAGAAAGAAAATAAAAATTATAACTAATAGTGCCTTGTAGGAATGGGAAAGGCTTTATGTATAATATGCAATTTAATCCTTACTACATATCTGAGGAGCAGACCTGGATACATTTCTGTTACAGACTACGGAATTGAGGTTGAGAAATGAAGTGACTTGCTCAAGGCCATGAAACCAGCAACTGGCAGATCTCACTCGTATTTAATATAACTCAGCTTTTACTGATACCAAATTCACTGCTTTTCCACCTTTCCCTCTGTCTCTCATAAATTATAAATGCATGCATTCTAGTCCTAGTCATTATACTAATTTAACTTTCAATAGGGTCGTCATCATTAAAGACAAAAATACACGCTTGAGAAAAATAAAGTAGGATACAAATTCACAAGTGAGAGCAAGGCTTGTCCAAAAGCTAACACAGTTTTTTTGGTAGCTGGTGAGATAAAGCATTTATTCACTTGACATTGTTCAGCACAATTTATCTGAATGCCTACTAACAAAGCAAATACTGTTTGCAGATTCTGTTTTACTAATAGCAGAAATAATAAATTTTAACCGCAGCCACATTTACTAAGCATCTGCTATTGTATATACAAGCACTAATTTGGTTCTCTGCAAACAATCACACATTTTCACAATATCCCTCAAAAACGGTTATCAATTGCATTTTGAAAATAAGTCAACAGAGAGGTTGCTTGCCCAAGGCCACACTTGAGAAGCAGCAAACCTCAGTGTGGGCCTGAATCTAAAAGCCATGGTCTTTCCATCACTCCATGGTACTCCCTCCCTACCTGTATAAATCATTCAATGTCTACCAAACTGTGGACACAGATCCTCCTTCCGCATGCATTCTTTTACAAAAGAGCACTGAACTGGTAGGCCAAGAGCTAGATGGCTGGATGGATTCTGTCACTAATTAATTACTCAGGAGACGCAGGTCACTAAATGTCTCCAGGCCTTAGTGACCTCACAGAACTACATGGGTTTGTCTAGATAACTTATGACTCCTTCCAGGTCTGAGTGATGCTAATGAACTTCTGGAACAAAGACCTCATCGTTAGTACAATGATGGACGCATATTCTCAGTAATTTTAGAGGCTATTAATGACACTTTTTCTAACTTTACTATCCTTAAAAAAAAAAAAATCACAAATTAAAAAATGCAAGTAGACCAATATGCATTTTTTTCTTTAGCAATATAAAATATCCATGCAAAAGTACTTCTTAAATAACCTAACATTAATTTGTTTCTCATGAATTCTGATGTTTTGTATAACAAATAAAAATATTACAAAAATGTATGGGAAAAAAAAGAAACCAAACTACAGTCATGAAATTCACAGCTAACAGTTCCTCTTCCACCTCCCACATATTCCACCCCTGCTCCCTGCCTCTGACTCTCACTGGGATTACAAAACTCAACTGAAGCCCTAACAATGCATTCTTCTCTGAGGTGCTTGAAAGATGTTTATGTGAAGTGCATTATAAATAAGACAAATGGTTGTACTTCAAGAATCACTAGAGACCACCTCCTAAGACCTTGTCTGAGAAATAGAGAAAGAAAACAGAACAAAGTCTCCCCTCTAGGAACTCCTCTATTCCACACCACGACCTGGGGTCATCTAATGACTATATCAGAGGCCTGAGAGGGATTATGGCATGCATACAGGCCTCACATTAATCATAATTTAGAGCAGACCAGACAGCACTGAAACAAAGGCTCTCCTGTGGAACATGCATGTATGAAGAACAATCAGAAGAAAATTTGGTATAATGGAAAGCATACTAATCCCTATGAATCTTGAGGCCTGAGTGCCAGTTCTCTGATGCTAAAATTATGGTCTAAAAATTAGCCCATTTCTTGGTCCAGTCATTTCATTGTACCTATAGAACCCTCCACAAGCATCTTAGAGATGCTTATGTAGAAGTTATGATGTCAGTGATCAAGGGACTGCTCCCACTTGGAAGGGCCACTGGACCTCCATTGTTTTGAATGATACAACTAGGCCCCCTAGATATAGTAAAACCCAAAGAATAGAAGAATCTAGATCTTACTCCATTCCTCTGTCTACCAAACCATGCACTAATTGCTGCATTATATATAAATCTATAAATTAAA